TATATTGGAAGGGTTAAAATATATTACATCATACTATTCCTTCGAGGCATGGTTACACCTTTTGTCAAGCAGGGTCACATCGATGATTTTTGTTGTCATTAACAAACCGATTAAGAGCTTTATGAGTCCCAGTACAGTCATCTTTGTTAAATACTTTATTGCATCACAGCTTAATTTACGTAGAAAATAAACGTGCATCGCAAAGGGCGTCTTTGAATAAAAAAAACATATACTTAAGAAACAGTTGGGAAAAAGTCGTGCTACTTATTATCAAACGTTATGTCTCAAAGTTTGACGTAAGCGGATAAATCTGGTCTAGTATGCAAAGCGGTAAACAACAATATGCAAGAATCTCAGATGCGGCAGTCATGGCGACGGTATAAAAGTTAGCAATGCATGGTTTCAGTTGGAAGCTGTGCACAATCTAACTAGGCGTTTCACCGTACAAATCCGTGCCCCCCTTCCTTAAAGAACAAACGGCGTACAGCTAAGCTAACGTTATCTGTTACCTGAATCGGCATCTTGTTGAGCGGAGAACAGTGCAGCAGTCTGACGCACCAGAGGACCCTGGGGGTTTTAAGGAGGGAGCCTGTGATGGTTAACATGATGGCCCTACCTTAGCTGCGCAGCTAACCAGCTAGCGTTTCGGAATGCGTCATGACGCCATGACGTCGCGTCACATTTTTCTTCTTCTCTTATTTTTTTATTGGCGGATGGCAACCAACTTAAGGTTCAGTTACCGCCACCTACCAGACTGGAGTGGTTATCAATGATGTCAGAGGGAAGTTATTAATTCATACCACGAATCTGCATATTATCTATCTATCAATATCCATACACACTCACATATAAATTAATATGTGTGTATATGCACATGCATACACACACTTATATTACTTTAAATACGATTAAATTATCCAGTGTTTTAAAAGAAAATCAAATTAACTGATTGCTAGCAGAATTAGATTTACTAATAATACATGTTGAAATGTTTCCATCTTAATACAGTAAGTACAAGCCTCTGTACTGGTTCCCTATTCTGAATAGAACTATTAAGTCCAGCATGACCAATTCTAAGTCGAGATACGACTACCTCTTCTTTCCGCCTTCCATTTGTACAGCTATTACCCCCACAGTCTTGAATTTTATTTAGATCTCTTCAACTGTTTTCACTTGTACTAAAGTTATTTACTGTCTCAGACTCCAGCAAGCCTGTGGACGTGACCCACCCTGTAGTTGACATCTCTCAGGTTCAGGCCTGCTAAATTTTAATCACAGCCCAAATATTAGCTACCAGCTAAAAGCCTGTGGTAGGAGCTAACCCCATGATCCGACTGTTGCTGAGCTATTGTTTAGTTTTAGATGTTTAGATATGGAGATCAATTCAGATTTTAAACCTGGTTTCCCTTTTTACTCTTAGAAGCTGCAGAAGACATGAAGAATGGTGCAGAGACCAAACTTCCAGCAGAACAAGCACCCTGAGGAATGGCCCCAAGTTCATACCTAAATCCAACTGAAAATCTGTGGTAAGACTTAGAGGCATAGTGGAGGATTTTTGCTAATTTTTGAAAAGCTCCACCCTATACACTTAAAAAAAAAGAGGGAACGACCATTAAAAGCATGAGAGAATGCACAAGCCCATTTCTTCACGTTCACGCTGTGTTTAGAAGTTGCCATTTGCATTGTTCATACAAGATTACTTTCTAAAAAATTTGCAATTGTTCCACCATGTCAGACTCACCAGTAAGTGAAAATGGGGATGAGCATGAAGGACAGCCTTACGTAAACATATCAGAATAATTGACAATTAGGAGGACCACTTATTTTGATGATCATCCTTCACTCTACCTTTAAGAGATTTATATTCAGACATTTTCCATCCAACCTAACCAAGCTATATTAATATTGTAGAAGCTGTGAGAAGTCAATAAAAGACAGGAAATGATGTGTGTTTTATACCAGAAAAGGCTAATCGGTTTAGACTGCTTGGCTGGAAATACGCTGTCACGACACAGCAGGACATTATGTACTTTCTTTTGTGTATAAGAAGTTTAAAGTAGAATAAATAGGCTCTGGATTTATGGAGCATAGTTTTAAAATTACATTTTTACCCTGTCACCACAGCAAACGCGGGTCAACCATGAGATTCTGGTTAAGAGATATGCCAGTGGCTTTAAGCTTCAGCTTAGCCCCTTCAGAAATAAAAATAACACAGGTCACAATCTGTTTCAGTAAAAAAGTGAAAGGGTTTTAGTGTTTCTAATTAATTGCTGCTATATTTATATCAATAAGGATTAGTGTGGATTATTTACGCAAGAACAACTAATATAGGTTTATTGTTATAGATGATTCCTTACCGAACTCTTGGATAATCTTAAGAAAATAAATTAAAAACTTATTTCACAATGAATAGCTATGTAAAAAAAAAAAAAAGAATAAAAAGAAAAAAAGAAAATGCTTTGCACCTGAGAGCAATATAATCAGGAACTTACACAGGTCATTTTAGAGACACAAGGCAAAACAAAAAAACAGATGGAGACCAACTAAAGCCAAATTGATTTAGCGGAATGGGCCGATTGACTTTAAAAGGATTGCGTTAACACCAAGGCTTCCAGTGTGGACGCCTGCATGGGGATGGTCAGCGGGTGTAAAACACAACAGCACACACACCTACGCACACATCCACAGAGATATGAGACCAATGATATGTGGTGGTGGTGTGTCCGTTTATTACACAACACAAAGCACCTACAATTATCCACTCCCTGCAGAGCCAGACAGTGGAAGATCCTGTTTTTTTTTTTGTTTTTTTTTTCACAGTGGATTTAATGTGAACATGTTTAGACAAGGACATCAAACTCTTTACCTAAATAAAAAAAAAAGCCTACACACAGAAATTTACAGCCAGTATAGCACACAAAATTAAAGCAGTGTCAACAAACGACAGTAAATTGAGTAAAAAATAGAATTTAATCATTTAAATACTCTTTCAAAATACAAACATTGATTTGAATTTTTCTAAATTAGATAACATTAAGTCGTTTCCATAATTATAACTGGCAATGTTGAATGTACAAGGTGGCTATACAAGGAAATGTGTGAGGTTTGGTAATTTGTTGTATTGCTCATTTATATTAATGTGCACATTAGTAATAGAACCTAGAAATGACTGTATAATTTGAACAGTGACACTAAAAGCAGTCTATCAAACCCCTCCAACCCACTGTACCGCAAACACACAGGTATACTCGGAAAGATAAACTCAACTCCGTCTTTGCATATAGGACCAAAACAAGAGAGGATGGAAAGAAAAAGGAAAAAGTCAAAATCCAGCATCCTGCTGCTAATGTAGCACGTCGTTTTGCATCTATTAAAGCAGGATTATTACATCGGAAAAATAATGCAAAAAGAAACAAACTCAAGGCTCAACAAAGTCACTATATCCAATATCAAAATGTTTGCTTTCTTTTCTCCACAGTTGGTTGGCCATGTGGCTGATGCTGCCTCCTGAGGTAGCCTTCTGTAGCCTCTCTAAGCCGCTGCATTATAGTGCCATTAAAAATTGATCCCTAAACTAACACCCTTGAAAAAAAAAAAAGATTACAGATCACATGTGAAGCGTAATTTTAAACCCACGACAGAGAGTCACAATGCAAATACCCTTATGTCCTAAGAGGGAAACTATGAAAACTAATTTTTAAATCTTTACAAACATCAGCACACAATAAGCTGCACAAATATTGTGATGGGGGAATTAGTATTACATCTGCTGGCTTCATTAGCTTCCACTACAAATTGCATGGTTATTGAAATTGAACTGTACATAGCTAAAAGAGTGCTGACCGTTTGGTCTCTAAATAGTTATAGGGATCTGATTTTTATTTTCTTAAACATCAGATGTTTTTTTTTTGTTTAACTAAATGATAATTTACACTGACTATACAAATATTTCTAATAAAGAGTAGGACCTTCCACACGTTACCAGATGAGCTTTCAACATCCTAAAGGAAGATGTTGCATAAGCTGAATGTCTTGCAGCCCTGAGCTCCGTTCAAGGGCGCCGGTTCAAGTTCAACAGATGTGCATCCAGAGGAGGAGGAGGAGGAAGAAGAAGGAGGAGGATCTCAAACTAAACAGTTCAAGATCTTTTATGCAATGTTCATCGATGCTGCAGAAAATGCAGCAAAAAAGAAAAAAAAAGAAAAAAACTCACCACACACTTTAGCAGTCATTTAGTTTAGTGTTACAGCCTAAATATGAAAGAAGTGTTTCTCTTTTCTTTTAAAAGACACAGCTGCAGAGGTCAAAGTGTGGTTGTAGTGGAGGGTGTTGGGGTGTTACAAAAACAAACAAATGAGGCTGATCCCACCGCCAAAGCTATAATGTTAAAAAAAAGTTGCGTTCTTCCCTGATCTCATATTCCCCATCGCGTGCCATCAGTGCCGCAGGATGACTTTTAGCTGTAAATCCAGAACTTCTCCGTGGCTTCATGTTAAATAACCCTCATATTCAACTTGTATAAAGATCTGCAGTCTTTCCCGTATTCCTAGAATACGAGATGATCCAATTAAAAAATAATAAGCACTTGGGGTGCAGAGTTTGGAGCACAGCCGATGACGCACAAATACTAGTGAAAATCTTGTCGGTTTTAATCTGGATTTTGAACAGTATTGCTTTTAACGTATTGCAAGTTACTCCTATGGTCTGCCTACAACTCCGGTTGCCTCACCCTGCCTCAAAGGACCCTCAAGTTTGATGCCAGATGTCTTATTATGGCTTTTATGTGCAGATGTAGCATTATGTTAAAAAAAAGTTCAAACGCTACACAAACTGCAGTCTGTTGTTGTTTACCTAAAGGTTAAGTGGTAAAGTATTTGTCTTTTCAAAGCGTTCCATGAAGTGGTTAAATATTATGCAATAGCTCGTGGATCTTGGCAGGTACCTCATGGTGTAAAAAAAGCAAAATCCCTCCAAAAAAGGTGAATAAGTACATTTTTTGCTTTTCAAATACTCTCCTCCTTTACACAGCTTAAAATAAGAAGCATAAATCCCTCATTATTACTTCTAATTAAAACGTTCCTTTTTTTCCCCATAAATCGCTAGTCCCCTCTTGTGGACCAGCTCTGTTCTTTTTTCTTTCCTATCTTGATGTCTTTCGCTCCATCCTCTAAGGGGAGTCCATCATGGCCTCCAGCATCTCCAGGAATAGTTTGTGCATGGGAACGCCACCACGGGTCTTGATGCTGTAGAAGGTGGTCAGAGCCCGGCCGGCGGTCTGTCGGAGGAGAGGCAACGTGAGGAGGAGGCGTCCTGCCCGCTGGGGGTCTTCCGGGCGCCGCTGACACTCGAGCTCCAACAAGCCCTGGTGGAGGAGGTCCCGGAGCTTCTGCACAGCCTCCATGTCCTCGATGTAAACAGAGTCTGACACAACAGCAGGAGCACATGGTTAGAATCACTGTAGCACATTTAGCTTAATTTGCTTCCCTCCCTGCTTAGCAAGCTGTCTCCAAATAAAAATATTTTTTTTTCTTTGTTGTTGTTGATTGAAAATGGAACAAACTTTTAGAATATTCCTTCTCGCCGATTTGAACATATTCCCTTTAAATCTGAGCAACGACTCAAGCTGCAGACTTTCCTACAACTCCTCCCACAGCTGCTAATTTGGTCACATTGTCCTTGAGTTTTTTTCCCCCTCTCCAAAGTATAAATAGCCCTGAATGTAGCTATGTGCTGGAAAAACAACTGTTCATTCATTCAGCTAGTGTTGGCAGAGCACACCTGCAGGGTAAATGAAGGTTTCCTGTATCAAGCTAGATTTAAATGTTTAATTCTGAATTCTACACGGTATCAATCTGGAAATCCTCACGTAGAAAGTGTTCGCAAAAAGGAGAGACATTCAGTGCAATTCTCTGAGCTGATTGGATACCTGCCTCCGTATCAAATTCTCACGCAGTTAATTGATGAATCAAACTTTTCTCAAATCCCATCGGAAGAATTGCGCAACCATCTTCCCATCCACAGAGGTAAAAAATGTTATTGTTTAAAAAAAAAAAAAAAAAAAGAGGGTATTCCAGCTAACCTCTTAACTTCCACCGCAGTATATTGGTATGTTTTTACATTACATTATTTTCCGCATCAAATATCACGCTCATATCAAAGTGAAACCCAGCGTATTATACCTCTTAAGAAAAATGACAAACTCAAATATGAGCGAAACCTTATACTACAAAAACAAATAACTAATAAATCGTCATCAACTCAGAACTCATAATAAGATCCTACCTTGTTTTTCTGTTGTTGCGATTAGAAAAAATACCTTACGGTGAAGAAAATTGGGCTCATTTTGTCCGTAACACTCCACAGAAAAGTAATATCCAGTAGTTTACCCCAAAAAAATAAAAATCGAAATAATCCACCAAAAGTTGTTTTTTTTTGCCATAAAAAAAAGTAAAAACATAAGAATGAAAACATATAATTCATCTCCGTAATGCTACTTGTCCGCTATTTTAGATCATCTACGTTGTATGGACGTATTCACCTACCCATTCACTCCATACATTGAGTGTAACTTCCATTTTGACTACGCACAATAGTATGGAAAATTCCTTTACCTTAAAAAAAAGGCCCTCCCCATGCGCATGCGTCATAGAGTTTTGTTCTGCTGGTGCTCAAAAATATAGGAACCAAATGATCCTTGATTGACATATTTCGTTAGAAAATAAGATATTTGTGATGATATATGGGAAGTGTAGGGGCAGACTGAAAATATAGGGTTTATTTACCTGCGTAAGGAGTGAGAGGCTTCAAAACTGGAAATATTGGTATATAAGCTCAAGTCAGTCATAAAATTCAAATAATCTAGTTTGCAACATTTGCTCCAATCGTGCCAAATGGACCTTTTACATACAAAAAGGGTCATAGTTTCACAATGTTTATGACTACAGGTTTGAAATTTTACACAGTTGTGTAAATGGCCACAACATGAAGAACAAGTGTAGTAGGTGGGAGAAGTCAAATATGAATTATACAAAAGATATAACATAAAAATTGAATTTTATTGTTTAAAAAGGGTTTTACCCTGTACACATATTTCCAGAAACTAGAAAGTCTTAGACTTCAATTTTGATAAATCACAAGCATGTGGGATTTATATTATTATTTTAAAGGCCAATGGCATTTTTTGGTATGCAATACATTTGTGCTCAAGCTATAAAAAGGTGGGCGTTACTAAAGCCGGTGTTCTGTCAGCTCAACATACCGTTTCAGGTCATCATACCCGTAATACGCTAATAACGATCACGCATGCATGATCTTTATTAGCAGCTATCAGTCCCATACAATGGCTCCAGATTGTGCCAGTAGGCTCATTAGGTTGTAATCACTAAGTGTCCTAACCCTAAAGTTATTCAATTTCCACTGCGGAATTCATGAATCTATTTAAGTGCAATCTGAAAATAATTTCAGTAGTTCTTCATGTACAGTAAAAATAAATAAAATCAATCCACATATTGTTCATGTTAAACTAAAAACAAATAAATCTCATATCCTGTCACTGATTTGTAGAATCCTCTCCCTATAAATATTCAATTCTCTGTCAAAAAATGCTGATCATTCTTTAATAAGGTCCTCATCTAATGGACATGCAATGCTTTAATTTTTTTAAACTAATTTGTGTGGTGGACCTGTTTTGTCGTTTTATGCAAAAAACGACGACAAAAACCTGACTAAATTGGGAAATAAAACAGCATGATTGGCTGTAAGGACAGTGGAGACAGAAGACACTATGTAATGTGTATTACTGTGAGTGTGCTGGCCTGATGGTGTATGCTGAGTGGACAGAAGTTTGTTGTGCTTCAGCCTACCACCTCTGGTTGACGACATATACGTCTCTGCATTTCATTTGTCCAAAACATTTCCGTATCAAGTCGAACGCATCTGTCGGCTCCTGGCAGGATGTATTTTTGGGAGTTCGCGACAAAGTACATTTTTAACAATCTGTTCATTTGTAGCTACATTACAAACATATTGCCGTTCTAAAGAATGATTATATCTATTAGAACAGCTAATATTTATAGAAAAATACTTGTATTCATAGATGTGTGTATTTTGCTTGTCTCCAGTCACGTTATTTGACAGAAAAATCCACCAAATCCAGTGACCCGTCTCCTCTTGGTGCATCTCTGAATACAGCAGATGTTCTCAAAACCTAATATTGTGTCTGATAACACAAGACAGGCAGATTATTGCTGCAGGGCTGCAACTGAAAACTGTTTTTCTAATCAATTAAGCTGTTGGCTACTTTTTCAGTGAACTGCTAAATATCATATAGCAAAATATAGTTAATTGGAGATAGTTTTGTATGGATTTTAGACCACTGTTATTTGGAGAGTCATATATAATTTAAAGGCAAATAGCTGTATTATACACAGTTTTGTCTTAAAGGTATGAAAGACGATTTTCCTAAGCAATTAAGTGTCCAGATTCTAACAAAATGACTTAATTGATGGCTGGCATTCTCGCACATATGGTCTCCCCCTCCTCCTAAGAAAGAAAATCCATAAACTCTGTCCATGGTGGGGCCAACAAAAGATTAGCCAATCCATTTTCCATTTTGAAATACTAATCTATCTGCGGAGGGGTTTCCAGCGTAGAAACCTTTTACTAAGGAGGGGGCACTGACGCATGACCACGATTAAAAAAAAAAACACAAACAGCCATTGGACATATCTTTCACCTGACTGGGTTAGTCATTTTACAATCAGCATGTTTTACAGTCTTCAATTAACGATTATCCGATTAATGAATTAGATGAAGGTTTTATCAACAATGGATTGATTAGATACTTTTAGCTCTTAATGGATGAAACTGATTTGATTTTAAGTAATCTTTGTGAGATTTATGCTGAATTAGAAGAGAAACATCCTGCATGGATCAGCACTAACTGAATACAAACTGCTTATCCTCTCCTGCTACACTCCTTAGCCTCAAAATATAAAAATGATCATTCCTGAGAGGCTGTTTATTCCAACCCTGATAAGAGATGAATTATTTTTCATCCAATTGAATCTATTTTGTCTTGATAAAATATTTATTGCCCTTTTGTAGTTTATTGCACATGTTGAATATTGAGCCAATCTATGAAAATAATTAAACTAATGTAGTTAAACTGGTGAAGAACACCGTTAAGCTAGAAGCTGCTATTATAAGTGAGTGAAACTAATTTAATGACACATAGCTTATCAGTCTAATCCTTTTATCTGTAACTAGGAGGTGAGAGGTAGAGCTGGAAGTACCTGAGTTTGTTAGAGCGATGGCTTTTAGCATGACAAACTCCTCCCGGTCCACATTTAGTGCACGGAAACGCCGCGCAAGTTGGCTAATAGCGGCGTTTAGCTCGGTCAATCCAGCAACACGCGACATTTCCTCATCCAGGACAAAATCCTCAGCGAAAACCACCTCGTCCTCGCAGCCAATGGAGCGGTAAGCTACGCCCAGCACTAGCACCTCCAGCCAGACAGACTGCAGCACAGACATCTGGTCTGCTAGAGACAGAGACAGGAAGCCTGCAGGAAACGAGACAAACAGAGATCCAGAAAAGTTAGAATGAACACAAACGGCGACGAGATGGAAATCCTAATCATATTGGCCGAGTTCTGCTTATTGGACTGATTCCAATACATAAAAAAAGAACAACATCAGCCAATACATTCTGCATGCCCTACGGATACTTAGCACCACTGTTAGTATTCTGAATGTACCACATTGGGGAGCAAAGAAACAACCTCTAAACACAGCAGAATGTATCCGATATGCTTCCCTCCAAACAGAAAAACCAAAATGTCAATAGTTTTTAGGAACCATATCTATATACAACTGCAGCTAACCAACTCTTTGTGTATATCTCTACCAGCTTTGTGATAAACAGACCTAAAGGATTTTCTAATTCGTCCTCACTACGAATGGATCCATTTTAGCATAAAGTTTTAAGTCCTGCCATAGATTCTGAACGTGTTTAAGTTCTGCATGTTGATTACGCCCTTCTGCTCTAACTAAACTCCTCCCCTGTAGTCCTGACTGCATGTTGTTGGTTACTTTCCTGACAGCAGATGAAACTCTGCAGTCTAAACTTTTGCCACCTCTAAAAGGTTTTGTTTTCCTGTATGGCTCCATCCATCAACTGACCAGCAGTGGAAAAGCTTTAGTTTCTCTTGACAAAAACTCTTCTTCAATATCTTTTAAACATACTTACTTTGTGCCTTATATGACTTTTGGACACGTTTTGGCTTTCATCTTGTCCTTTTTTTAATTAAAGCTAAATTTGTGGCATGCCTACTTATCCCACCCGAGCTGGGGATTTCTGCAGCTCATCCAGCTATGAAACTATGAATTATGGGCTTGTTAGTGCTTATCAACAGGAAGAACAAAATAGAAAGAAACAATATAAAGTTTATGTTTATCATGGATGTCCAAGGGAAATCCTAATGGTTCAAAATACATCATACAACCTTTTCCATGTTGAGTTTACATTTCAGTACGTAAACTCAGCTGATTCAGCTAGAATTAGTAAGCAATGACATCTTTGTAGAGATCAGTTTAGTCATTTGTTTATAAGTGATCCCAACAAGAGTTAACTAAACTAAGCATCAGTCAATGGAAAAGGTGGGCAGAAAAAAACAAAACAAAAAAACATCAAATCCCTACAAAGGATGAGGAGATATGACGGGGTAAGCGCTGCAGTAGAGATGCTATTGTTCCTGCTCAAAGGTGATGAATCTCAAGAGCAGCCTGATAATTCTTGCAGCTCTACCATCACATCATAAATACCTCCTTTAATGAATGCAGCAGCCTTTAGGCGTTTTATAGGCTCTACATGTCCTGATCGCATTAGCAGTCCTACCATTAGCTCTGCACATACAGTTACCTTGACATTTGGCTTTTAATGGCCTTTAGCATCAAATTTCCATTGCTCAGCATAATGATCAACATACTTCTAACAATGCATTTATTAGTATACTGTAGAATGATAACAATGCATTTATTATTATACTGTAGGGGAATGATAACAATGCATTTATTATACTGTAAGGAATGATTCTCTAAAGGCTTTATTCTGTGCAGGATAGACATGCACCTATCCGATACCTGGATCAGATACATGGAATTGCTATTTATTTCTTTTTGCTTCTTGTTAATAAATAATCAAAAATACATTAACAGCTGTGTTAATTTGTTACCTTTTTTTTCTTTCAAGGTTAAAGCCTTCACTTACACGGCCAGTTAAATGGTTCATTCATTCAACAGATCTTTATCGGATATCATGGTAGGTGGTGGCCTAGCGGTTGGTGCATAGAGCTTTGAATCCTGGGATTTCGAGTTCGAGCCCCACAGGTTGTCACTCAGGGTTCTTGAGCAAGACCCTTAACCCCCCCACTGCACCCCGGGTGCTGAACAGTGGCAGCCCACTGATGGGCAGAGAGTTAATTCTCCTTTGGCACATCTCTAGTGCTGAAAGAATCAAAACAAGCGCATCGGTTCTATTCAGAGCACCCAGAATTCTCTCACAGTAGGTTCTGAGGGTTAGAGGCGAATATTTTGTAAAATTTTGTACTGTATTTTACTACTGTAATCACCTCAAAAAAAAAAAAAAAGAAAAAGAAAAGAAAAAAGAAATCAGCACCACATATCAGCAATCTTTTAGACTAATGATAGAATAATCTACGTTAAAACAAAAATACAGAACAATTTCCTTCAAATTTTGTCCAAACACACACAATCAGAATGACATGATCAGAATAAGTGTTTATATGGATGTTAATCATATTAACCATCCCTCTTATTCAGAATACAACTCCATTCTGATTGAGCCGAATATGAAAAAGAAAAATCTTCCAACTTTGTCAGGACCCATTTTTATCCTAAACACTTTATGTAAACCTGTCATCCGTCTCTTACCAGGAATGTGTTTGGCCCAGCCGATGATCACAACCAGCTCCCGATCAGCGAGGTCACAAAGGGTGGTAAGCGTACGCTGGGCCGTGTCAGGCTGCAGAGGATCTGGCATCGCAAACAACTTTTCAGGCTCTGCCACTAAAAGATGAGACACAATGATGTTGGAAGAACCTGTAGAATAAAAACAACAAAAATGTTAATCAAACTGCTAAACCAAAGCTGGTCCGGGTCCTATAGTGAGTCTCTGCGGGCAGTAGAGGGCGCCCTTTGAGTCCAATTGTATTTTCAATCAATTTCCACATGGATCTGCTTTAAACTTCAACAGAGTGGAAAAAAGACTGATTGTTTTTTGCAACTTGACTGCCCTTTCTTAACAGCCTTACAGTGTCACTACCATACTTCACAGTCAATTTAAGTTGTAAACATTTCAGAAAGAATTTAAGCCTCAATAAAAATAAGTTAATTCTGAAAAAATTCATCATCTGATTAAATTTCAGATCCTCTTGAATTGGTTACTTTTAATAATCTCATTAGATATTGGCTAGTTTAATATGCAGGGGTTATATATTCATTATTAGACATCATCAGAGGACAGGCTCATGTCAAGAGGAGCTTATTAATATCGTCTCAGCTGGGTTCTTGCACAACATATACAGCTCAAATAAATCAATGCTTAAAGACATAAACAGATATAAGATAAAGATCACCTTTTTCGCTCTCCTTAGTCAGAGACAGAGGGGCGCTCTGATACGTTGCGTTCTCCACCTCCGGGCGCCTCTTGTACTTCTGCCTCCCACCTCTGACTCTGTCGAGACGTACTCCTAAATCACAACAAAATGCTTACACCGACTTCGAGCTAAGCTGACCAATTGGTTAAGAGCAAATGATGGAAGATGAAAAAGCAGAAAAATAATTGCGAAAGATGGGTCAAACACTTACCCTCTTTCAGCATGCCTACTTTGAGGCACTTAGTGAAGCGGCATGCCTGGCAGGCTTTTCTTCGCCTTTTGGTGATCTCACACTCATTTGATGCGGGGCAGCTGTATTCAATATTACCTGAATGACAGAGAACAGCAGCTTAAAGTCAACAAGATGTCAGAGAAATCAAAACAGAATAAAACATCATGGATTATACAAGAAATTAAAGGCTTCTTACGAAATTTTTTTCATAAAGATTTATTCAGCTCAGTTTTGGTTATCTATCAAGCTGTATAAAAAAATTTTTTTGGAAAAACTCTCTTGATTTCACTGATACCGTCCCTCATAAAGGCACAACAAACATGCATAAAGGGCACATAAACAAATTATATGCTCTTTATGTTATGCCAACACATCCGTTCCACCAAAACACACACACCTTGAATGGTTCTCTTAAAGAAGGCTTTGCAGGCCTCGCATGACGCCACGCCGTAATGATAACCCGAGGCCACATCCCCACACACCAGACACAGCCTCTTGGGCAGTGTGCTCAGGGCGTACTTGCATCGGCCCGCTCCGTTTCCGGTGGAGCCCTCCTCCGCCCCATCGCCCCCCTCGTCTTTGAAATGGCAGCGAAGGGCCGGCGTGTAGAGGGGCGGTGAGTAACGCTTGGCCCCATCACCTCGGGTTCCCCCGCCTCCACTCTGAGAGGAGTCCGAGGAGGCCCCGCCGGGGCTGGTCCGACCTCCCCCGCCTCCTTCTGGGCTGCTAGGTTCCGCCTTTATGTAGACATCAGAGCGACGTTCTCGGGAAGACATGATGCCTGACAGACGAAAACATAAACAAAGAAAGGTCAACGTAAATATGGGTGTAGAACATTAAGGGTTTGCCCTTTAAACCAAAACATAGAAAGGTAAAGCCGTAAACTGGGCAGTTTCACTTTGATCTGAAAACTTTTAGCTATTTACACTGGAAAAAATCTAAATTAGTCATTTTTTTCTTAAAACAATATTTTTATTTATAAATTATTTCTTGAATTGAGGAGGTAAGTGAGACAATTTGATAACAGAACAAGACAATTTACATTTAAAATAAGAAAAAACAATTGCATTGTATTATTTCAAGTAGATATTATCTAATTATCTGAGGTCCTTGTCACACCCTGCCGATTTAGCATATGCCTGGCGTCACAGAATCTCCTAAAACGCTGGCATACGCTGAACTTTCTATGTATTTTTTCAATTTTGGGCATATATAACGTATTCATAATGAGTCCAGAACTTAGGTCCAACAACAGCCTAACTTATGCAAAATGCACGGCAGCATAGAAGCATCAGTTAAAGCACCTGGTGGCGCCCAGGCTGCATAAAAAGATGTTTTTGATCGCAGTATTAACCTAGCTGCTGTTTAGCGCCCACCCCAAAAAGAAATAGAATTAAAAAAAGAAAAAGATGGTTTGCAGTCGCAGCAGATTCAGCATCATGTTTGCTAGGAAGTTTGCTGCTCCTGGCCGTGGGCGTGAATCCAGGGAGGATCCATCACATTCACTTTCTCGTTCACCCTATGATGGGGATGCAGTCTGGAGGAGAACTGAGTTTCCTCCTGTGAACCAAAACGCTGCCAAGGGTCTTGCTCAGAGTCCCAGACTAACAGTCTGTGGAAGTGGAGCTTGAACTCAGAACCTCTGGATTCCAAGCTCTACGCTCTAAACACTAAGCCACCACCAACCCTAATCAATTTTTTTCTTGCTTCGGTTTAATGATATAAAGCAAATAAAACAACATATAATACTTTTAAAAAATCGAATAATTCCCTCTAGGAGGTCATCTTAATTTAAACATGCTTGTAAAACAATCCCGATTCACTACAAAAAACAATATACCTAAATATTTGCTGCTAGTGGTGTTACATAGTGAGCTAGTTTATTGGTTATGAGTAGACATGCAAAAAACGATTTACATTCGAGCTATGGAAGCCCAAGGAGGACATTGGTAGAAAATAAAATCCAGATTTTCCCCAAATGTTTTCATAATGGCTAAAAATCAATTATTAGTCTATTCTTATGAAATAGGTTATCACATCGTTAAATCCTCTGGGCCATAAACTAATGTGTCTAAATTCTCCATTAGATGTTTTACCTCAACAGGAATTAAAATTGAAGCCATTTATCAACTTTATATTTTATTTAATTTTAGAGAGTTATGTTCCAACATGAGAAATATTGACTAATTGATAAATCAACCAACTGAGTGTCAACCACAAGAAATGTGGTCAATGTCATAATATAGTGAGTTATAACAAACCATTAAAAAATCATCTACACTCTCCTGGCTGAGGAAGCGAAGCTTTGATTTCAGCACTAACTATAGAGGTGAATTATTTTACAATTATCCTCAGGTTTATGCTGTTGAGCCTTTATCTCAGCCAGCTGTACAGTTTACACTGATGTCAGACACAGGGCTAGAGTTGACTGTAAGCACAGTTTTACAGTACAACTAAAACCCTCTCGACATAAACTGCGGTGACAAATCGGTCTCAGTCCGGTAGAAAACGTGCCGGTCCGTTTGGGAAAGAGCAAAACAAGCAGTGAAGAGCGTCCTGACAGTGAAGAGCACCTTGATTTTTAAACCGCTGAATGTGGATGTTCCCAAAAGGCCTTCACATTGCTAAACTAACCGGTTCATTTCCAACACTACTGATGCTTTGATACATTTAATCCAGACATCAGAATGTAAGATTTAACACTTAAATACAAAACTCTACAGCCTCCGGACGATGGCCGCTGTGTGAAGTCTATGGCTTGTGTTTCTAGTCATTAAAACTGCCAAGGTGACAGAATGAAGGTCACTGTGCTCATAAACAGTGGCCACTCCTCCTTCAGATCCAGAGATATGACTTATGTTCTGTTAATGCAGTAAGGGTGCTGCAGTAACCCGCCACCGTGGCTGTATGCATATCTTCAATCAAGAAAAAAGGAAACTAATTAGCACAAATCTATATATCTATATAGATATCTATATCCATTTAGATATATATATATTCAAACGCTCCAATAGATTCTACCATTCTATTTATTAAAGCCATAAAAAAATAGAGTTTGACAGAAATGCAACTTGTTCAGAGGTCAACCTGGTCCCAAGACGTACATCTACTGCAAACGAGGCAATAAGCCTAAAAGCAGTCCGATCTCTACGATCCACCCTTTACTCATATAATAGGAATCCATTTCCCACTGCTTCTCTGCTGTGAGTGAACAAATGTTAGTGCAAAGATAGCACAACATTATTCTTTACCATATAAAAATCAGGCATAATAAACATTTGTTTCCATTAAAAGCCAACAAAGTGAGTTAGTTTACAGATATATAGTTTAAAACTCTCACTCAAATGGACTAATAAATCTGACTTGCGGGGCGAACATTAACATGAACAATTATGCCTTTTCCCCGTCTCTGGGTTTCAAATCATCACTGAGGACATTATGCTGTTGTTCCCACCTAATAGATCAATGCATGAGGAGGATGGGATGGGTGCAAACTAAATAGGCTCCGCTAAGCCGAGACTTGAACGTGATTTTATGCTTCTCCTGGGTGCACACTGGCTGCAAGAAAAGACGAGGCTTGGAAATGGAAATTTAACAAAACGCATTTTGTAAATTGAAATTTGAAAAAAAATTCAATTTTTACACATTTGTTTACATATTTTTTTTACCCCAATTTGTTTTTTTTTTTTTACAGATTAATATTTTGAAATGTAATATTTTTTTCAAATTTATTGTTTTTGATTGAGTTCTACGAATTGCATCGCTCTCAAATCTCATTTTAAAGATCACATTCTCTTCCCTTCTAGGGGTCAGTTGTTCTATGTTAGAATGCATTATAATTTTTTGATCGTTATTCATTAATCTGAATGCGTAAAATCGAGCAGACTAAAAACTGGGGTCGAGATTTTTTTCTATGGAAAGCGCACAGCTTCACTGGGGGAAAGAATATTTCCTTTTTTGCTGTTTAATCTTGTATTTCTTGTGTTGAAACCAAATCTGTAACATACGGAGCAGCCTGTAAATACACTTAAAAAAAATGCTTCTCCTTGCTTTTGGTTTGGCTGTTAGAAAAAAAAAAAAAAACCAGCTAGTTTCTGTTTTGGATAAGTTCTATCTTTCCGTGTCAAATTTAACTAGATAAATCACTGCGGCATAGTGGCACTGGGGAAAAATGCAAACTAGAAGGGGTTAGTGAGTAACATTAAAAACAGCATTAGGTTGTTTTTTTTATTGTGAACTGTGTCTTAACCCATATATCCAAGAAAAAAACAAAACAAACAAAAATTGTTCTTATAAAATGATAGTCAAAGGGCTGAGTCTATCAGTGATTGTCGATAGATTCGTCCAAGTCCCCAATATTAACGTTCACATTAATCAAACTCAAAAATATACAATTTGAAAAAAATAAAAGCTGAAAAATATATATATAAATCTGTAAAAAAGAATGTTAAAAAAAAAAATAAAGCTTGAAAAACAAAAGAAACTCTGTAAAAACGCTGAGCTACCTTAAAACCTTTTAAAGAAATGCATTCTAATTATGGATTGCATTTTTGCTTCAATTTACAAAAAGTGTTCTTTACTTACAACAATATTAAAAAAAATTCACTCAATGCTCAAAATTTTTTTTCAGAGATACTCCCTTTCAAATGATCTCTCTGAATCTAGCATTATAAAACCTGGATGGGAACCTACATTTGTTTCTGAAAATAAAGGTTAGAAAACTAAATATACTAAAATAGCAATAAAAGGTTTCATAGAATAGAAAACTCTATACTTTCTGTCTGAGGCCTTATGGAAGCCAGTCAGCAACAACCCAGTCTTGACTTGCACAGAGGTTTATCTGAGTTTTGTACACTCAGTTATCATGTTTAAACTGTCCAAATCCCAACAGCTTATCAAAGGTGTCTAGTCTGAACCGGCATCTACTGACGACTCGCATCGCTCTATGCATTTATTTAAGGTGACCCCAACGTTTCTGCATTCCTTTACACAAACATAAACATAGTCCCTATAAACTGTTTTGACTAATCTGCTTCCCATTTATTCCACAGTCGTGATCTGTTAGTGAAGGTAATCAAAGCTGATCATTTCAGCCATACAAACTGGGTTTAAGGATTTTTTTTAAAAAGGAAAAACCCACCCACAGTGCTACTAGGAAATATGAGTCAGTCTTAAAAGTCAAACTATAAACAACATGACCTGCCTGATGAAGACAGATTCACCTCTAAGCTTTTATTTCAACCCTATAGGGGCTGGCACAGGTTTTTTGGAGTTTGCCCTCTCTGGATATGAGGACTGTTTGAGAAGGGGGGGTCACAGCAAACCCAGCCAGATTAAAGTTTACCCTCTTTGAACAGAGTTGTAAAGCAGAGTGAATCCTTTACCCAACCCCAGCAGACATTGTGCTTTAAATTATCAACAGACCAATTTTCCTCCCACGTGCAACACTGGCAGAAAACAAGAGGTTACCATAAAAAAGTGACACACAGGCCGTTAAAGCTGCGTGGTTTATGGGAGATTTAAAGAGGGGCATAATTAAACCCGTGTGTCAATTTAAAAATAGCAAAAATAGTGTCTTATCAACTTTATAAACATGCGTTTGGTCAATATAAACCCCTGCAATCACTTGAGTTGTGTTGTTAGCATTAGCTAGTATCAACATTAAGGTGACAGCTGTAGCTAACCTTAGCTAACTAAGCTGGCTAGCAGCTAGCGTTAATCCTGACTGTCCGGTTTCCTTCTCTTCCACCGCGGGTTATTTTTGTCACTCTGCCCACAGACATGTCTGCGTCCTACCGTACAGTCGCGACCACTGCGGTGCTTGGAGGTTAAGTCTGCCTGCTGAGCGCGTTCATGGCACCGGGTGGACGGACTGGTAGCCTCTGCTAGCTTAGCTTGTGTCGGCTGCGTGTTCACATGGGCCGGGCCAATTCGGATTTCACTAAAAGCTGCAGTGATGAGGATGAATCTGCTGTGGCTGAACACATTAGATCCAGTAGCTGTTTCTAAATCATTTTTATGTTCGATGTTCTTGTAAGGAAGCATACGGAAGAAATAAAAATAAATAACTGAATTTCAAATTGTATTTCAGTATAACATAAGAAAAAAGACTGAATTCTGACTTTTTTCTCACAATTCTGACTTTAAGAGATTAAAGTCAGAATTGTGAGATTAAAGGCAGAACACTGAGATTAAAGTCAGAATTCTGAGATCAAAGTCAGAATTGTGAGATTAAAGTCAGAATTGTGAGATTAAAGTCAGAATTGTGAGATTAAAGTCAGAATTGTGAGATTAAAGTCA